CATAAAATACCACAAATGGGGTGTGTTAGTCTGGGTAGACTAGAGAAGCAAATACATAGAAACATGTGTATAAAAGAGAGTTTTATATAAAGGGCAATTCTACATTAAGAAAGCATCCCAGCCCAGTCCAGTCCAAGCCCATAAGTCCACAATTAGCCCATATGTCCGACACCAATCTGTAAAGTCCTTTTCAGACACGAACACATGCAATGACTCTGAATGTAGGATGATCACAGGTCAGTGGGTAAGAGAGTCTTTGGATCCAGTGGCGGTATAAGCACCTCAGCACTGGCAGGGGTCTCTACGTGGCTTCTCGGCTTCAGAGGTCTGGTTGCCTCAGGGTAGGTTCATGTGGCTTCTCAGGGGTGGCTACAGGGAGTCAGCCTTGTCAGTAGAGAGTCTTCCAGGGAGTGAGCACACAGAGAGAAGTGTCTCCCGCCTCCAAGGAAGAAACAGGAGTTCCCAGAATTCTCGGGAGAAGGCCATGACCACTCTCAGGCCTCATTGGCTATGACCTGATTGACAGACTGGACTCCACCCCTTCATTCTAATCCTCTCAAGTCCCAAATTGACACCAGATTATGTAATGATCACATGGTGGGCTTTAGAGAACCCAGATTCATTCCCTTTTTTACACTTCAGGAGGCTGGAAGTCCAAATTCAGGGTGTGGGTGTAGGAGGAGGTCTTTCCTCCTACAGTTTCTTGTAGCTATTGGCAAATCTTGGTGTGCCTGGGCTTGTGGATGCATCTGCCACGTGTGTATCTGTCTTCACATGGCATCTTCCCCCGTGTGTGCTTCCGTGTGTGCTCTTCTGATTGATAACTCAGAAGTGATTGGGTTTAGGACCCGCTGACTGTGGAATAATCTCATCAGTCAATATGTTGGGGCGAGGGACGCACTGTTGAATGCACAGTCGTCATGCTTGCTGACATAAACCGGTTGCTGCCTTCCCCCCTGCGTTGTGCTTGCTGCTCGGCTGGGCTGCTGAGCTGCGTGTGGAGATGGCCTGGAGTGCTGGAGCTGCACAGGGACCTTTTCGCTGGGTGAGTCCCCTCCCTGAGAAAACAGTCTCTGGACCAGAGAATCTATAAACTTTTTTCTTCCAGAAATGGAATTCTTTTTTTTCCTTTTAACAGCCTTTCCTTAATTGTTGTAAATATACACACAACACATTTACCAATTTCATGTAGCATTGATCACATTCATTATGTTCTGTGACCATCACCCACAGATCTTGTCACACGTCCTGCAGACAGAGACATTTACTGCTTCCGAAATGATGATTTCCTTGCTCTGTTGTCCCTACCCTGGCTTCATCCCACTACAAACCTTCAGCTCTATACATCTACTTATCCTTATATTTCATATAAGTGATAGCATATGCTACTTTTCCTTTTACAATTGACTTATTTTGCTCAATATCATGTTTTCAAAGTTCATCCGTGTTGCAGCATGTCTTAGGACTTCATTTCTTTGTTTTCGATC